GAAAATTTCATTTTGGTACTCAAAGTGGGGCCTTTTTCTCAATTTGATACCCAAAGTGGACATAGTCCCAAATTGATACCCAAAGTGCCCATTCAGTCTCAATTTGGTACCCAAAGTGCCCATTCAGTCTCAATTTGGTACCTGAGTTCGCCGGCCGGTCAAATGCTCACCGGCCGGCAAGAAATTTATTGTTCGCTTACCAAACAAGATTTTTTTACTTTTTTTATTTTTTTCCTTTTTCTATTTTTTTTTTCCCTTTTCCTTTTCTTTTTTTTTTCCTTCTTCCCTCCGCCGGCCACAGCCATGGCCGGCGGAGGTCGCCGGCGTCGGGCGGCGTTGGGCGAGGGCCGACCCTCGCCGGATCTGGCGAGGGCGGCCCTCGCCTAGGTCGGCCGCCCGACGCAGCGAGGCGGGTCACCTCGCCGACGTCGGGCGAGGCGGCCTCGCCGCCCGGGCCGGCGAGGGTCGCCTCGCCGGCGCCGGGCGAGGCGGCCCTCGCCCGGGCCGGCAGGGTCGCCTCGCTGCGTCGGGCGAGGGCCGACCCAGCGAGGGTGGCCTCGCCCGACGCAGCGAGGCGACCTCGCCGCCCAGCGAGGGCCGCCCTCGCCGATCCGGCAAGGGTCGGTCCTCGCCCGCCCAGGCGAGGGCGGCCATCGCCCGACGCCGGCGACCTCCGCCGGCCATGGCTGTGGCCGGCGGAGGGAAGAAGGAAAAAAAAAAGAAAAGGACAAGGAAAAGAAAAAAAACAGAAAAAGGAAAAAAAATAAAAAAGTAAAAAAAATACTGTTCCGGTAGCCGGAACAGTAAATTTCTTGCCGGTCGGTGAGCATTTGACCGGCCGGCGAACTCAGGTACCAAATTGAGATTGAATGGGCACTTTGGGTACCAATTTGAGAATATATCCACTTTGGGTACCAAATTGAGAAAAAGGCCCCACTTTGAGTACCAAAATGAAATTTTCCCTAGAGTTGTGGTCCCTTCAAACAAACAATTAGACGTTGGTAATCAACTCAAATCAGACTTGGTAAACTAAAATTAGTTGACAACCTAATGGGAGAAGAACTAGTCTGTCATACAAATAACGGTTGGCAAAATCATATTAGAGTTAAAAAGAATTCATGCGTTCGCGAGAGAGACAAATAAAAATTGGTAAACAAATAAAAGTTAATAAAGTAAAAACATAAACATGGCTATGTAACTCAATTGACAGTTGATAACATTAAAACCAGTTGGTAATTTGATTGAAAGAAGTTTGTATGTCACTCAAATAAATTTGGTATTCACAGATTTGATAAATTTAAGACGTTGGTAAGAAAGACAAATAAAAATTAGTAAAAGAAAAACAGTTGATAATATGTCAACTATCAAAAAAAATAGTAATAACATAAAAATGCTAGTAAGTTAGTAGAATATCAGGTAATTGACATTTTTTTTTGCACCCACCATTCTTCAAACTTACCAAGTAATTTCAGAAATTTACCAACCTGAAAAAGAATCTGTTTTTTAATATATATCGCATAGGTTTTTGCTCCTTCGCAAGTTTCTTCCGTTTGAGATGATGGGTTAGTTGGAAAATCAAAGAGCATAGTCGAAAAAAGGAAACCAGTGAACAATATGTCTGAGTTATTTAGCTGTTACATTCTGTCGATTCTGAAATCATATTACTTCAGCAAAACTACATATGCTGAATAATGGACAAGCGCTTTCCCTAAATGATCAGGAACATCAAATACGCAGTGTGACATCCTCAAATTTGACCCTATTCGGGATGTAATGAAATGATGATTTTAATCGATGTACTATTGGTAATTCTCGCTCTGAATTGATCACTCATGAGAGACTAACCGATAGGGAAAGACTGTTAAGGAATTAAATACGCACGACCTGAGAACTCGACCAGGGATTGACAATTCGACCATAAGGATTGACGAGGGACAATTTTGAGCCATTATATACCGATCAAGAGATGGTTATAGAACGATTCGCCAATAGCATACAATCGAATCGCGGGTGATTCCGCTTGACCATTGTATGTATTGCGAACGATCCTAAACCCATTGACTGATGATTGCGTACTTCGGAACTAGTGATTGACCCATCGCAATTACATGACAATCGAGATTATCCATGGTTCGAGAAAACTTAAACGTGGTTTGATATCGAATCAACTACAGGTCGAATTCGCGTAACTCCTAAAAGCCGCCCGTTAGTTTAAGATATACTAAAGTCGCAATTGATTGATTTTTACCATGAATTAGAATCCGAAATTGGATGTCGAAACTCCGAGGATTTCAAAACTAAATTATTAGACACCGCCTCATTGATTTGCTCGTTTATCAGTTTGCTCGAAATTCTCGAAAAAGGATTTAACGGGCCGAGAATTTGAGCCCACGAGGAAGTGGGCCGGACGAAGGCACATTGGGCCTCAAGCCCAATGTGATTCGGCCATTTGGGCCCAAGGCAAGCCCAAGTGGGCCAATGAGGCCCATTAAGCCATTAAGCCCAATTTCAAGCCCAAGTTGAACCCATTAGCATTTTCAAGCCCATTCCTAGTCCGTTTGAGCCCAAATTTGATTTATACGAGTCCGTACAAAATTCTAGCTCGTATACGTGTATAAATATTTTTATACCTTGTGAAATTACCAAAATACCCTTCTAGCTTTTATGATAAAGAAACAAAGGCGTTTAAGAGAGAGAAGACTTTTGTGCATTTTTTGATCACGAAAGAAGACTCGAGACATGCTTTAATGAGAGAAAATATCTCTCATTTCTCTCTCTCTTCCCCCCCCGACCGGCCACTCTCTCTCTCTCTCTTTCCTTCCCCCCTCAGTCACGTCCAACTCTCCCTCCTCTTTCTTTGGTTCGGCTGAAGCAGCAAGAAGAGCCCCTTGGCTGCTATTTTTGCTGCCGTGGAGCCAACCGTCGAGCGCTGTGACAAGCCGTGACCGCCCCGGAGCCGAACGCACCTCATCCAAGCCATTTCCGCCGTTAACTGAGCCTCGCCGAGGCAAAACAGCCGCCCCAAAGCTGCTGTCCAGCCGAGACCCAGCCACTGTCGTCGTTCCGTGTCGTTTTCAGACCATGCAAGGCGTAGCCCTCGCCGCCGCCATCGCGCTCGTGTCGTCGGATTCGCTAACGGATGAGTTATCGCCCTAATTCCTTGCTTAGTATGTTAAACTTGATTAGAGCGGATTAGTTTAAATTAATTATGTTTAGTACTAATTAATTATGAATTAGTTGTTAAGCGGTTGGAATATTATATTAATTTTCGGGATTTAAATAATAATATTTTATTAATTTTCGGAATTAAAAATATTATTATTTTATTAATATTTTTGTAAAAATTCCGAAATTAAATAGTGTTTATTTTAGGCTTAAATTGTGATGTCTAAGCTAGAATTTTCCTTATATATTGGTTTGTATGCCAAATTGAATTGTTTGGTTATGGTGAAATATAGAATTACGGGTATTTAATTAATAAAACCTGAGGTGTCGGGTTTATTTGTTAAGTTTTATGTGAGAAATATGTTGTGGATACTTGAATATAGAAGCATGCCAAGTTTGGGAATTTATTGATACGTGCATAATCACGTGTGAATATTTTAGTACATTTTTACGTGTGGAAGTTGCGAAATTTCAACGTGTTAGCACTAATCATGTTTGCATCGGCTATTGAAAATTATAATGATGGAACCTGAGTGTTGCTATGTGTGCATGATCACCTAAAGGTTCCTTTCGTGCCCGGTTATATCGGAAAACCGTATACCGGATGACCGCCAACCTAGGGTTTGGCCGTGGCCCTAACGGGTGTCCCCAATTTGGCAATTGGAAGTCGTCGCTGGTAGCAAGGGAGACGTAGTCATTCGCGAATCGGATTCGGAATGAACCCATTTATGGGATATGCCGTTATTGTGGTTGGGTGAGACGATGCCGTGCCCGATGGGGCGGGACGATGCCCGGATATACCGAAAGATTGCCAACCTGAGGCAAATATCGCGGGTTGTGCCGTAGCCCCTGGTGTGGCTGTAGTAATTAGAATACACGTGAAAGATTGTGGTGGCATTGCGCTTGATTATAAGATGAAATTGCTAAGTACGGTATGGGACGGGCCGAAGCGGTTTCACTTTATAATCGGGACACGTGTGAATGCATTGTTCTTGAGAAGGTTGATGCGTATTCTGATTACATTATATGCTTATTGCATTATCATGGCATACGGTGAATTATAATGTATAAGGCGTGTGCATGTGCCAAGGCAAGGTAAGGCTGCCTGTGATTGTGTTGTGAAGTACGTGTATGTTCTATATTGAGTTGTCTGCCATCGATGTATCGTTGCATGTGTTAGGTACATCCGAGATGAGTTGACCTCCTAGTTGAGGCTTAGTCGTGAACTCGCTGAGATTTATCTCATCCGTTGTTGTTAACCACTTTTCAGGTCATCTGATATGAGTACACGTACCGTTCCTTGGGAACCGGCTTTTTGAGGGAGAACACCTTTTGAGGTTATCCTCGTAGATAGAGGAGCTAGTTTAACCTCTACCTGTTCCGGTTGTAATCGAGAAGGTCCGCGTGGCGGACTTGTAATATATTAACCCAATGTATTGCTGATGATGTTGTTTAAATTGAGGTGTGTTTTCCTGACTATCCATTTTGTTGTGATTGGGAGTTTTAGTTCGCTTCCGCATGCGTTTAATCATTAGTAATTCGATTGGGTCGGCGATGCATCCTGGGACGTCGCATTTATAACGACCTTGGTGGGATGTTAGTGCGCTCGAGGTTCGGGGCGTGACACGCAGTATCTCGAAGTAGGAGGAGTTTTGTTTGGGACTTCTGGTTTGTTGTTGAGCTGAGATGAACTGGAAAGAAGCTCCATTTAGTTTGAACGTCTCAAGCGCAGTGCCACAATCCAGGCGCAGTAGGACCGCGCCAAGTAGCCTATGATGAAGCTCAGAGGCAATTTCAGTTCTAGCACAAAATTGTGAATGCGAATTTTAATTTATCTAAGGATCATAAGCATCATTGTAAACATTTCTGGTGATTTCCACAGATCTTTCTGCTTGAGGTACTCTAAGTACACCGTACACCATTGCTGCTGCACATGCTCCGAAAATAGGTGCCGCGATGAAGACCCAGAGATTCTTGTAAACACCAGAGGCAACTGCGGGGCCTATGCTCCTCGCAGGATTCATTGAAGCTCCCGTGATTGGCCTACAAAATCCAAAAATTCTTTGTTAGCACATGCACTTTCAGTAAGGCAGACAAAACAAAAGAAGGAGATAATAATCGGTCTCGCTTTTTTACCCTGCAATCATAACATTGAACAGCAGTGTACCCCCGATCGCAACTCCACCGATGTCTTTGTTCTGCATTTTTCAGTCAGTCAAAGAAGTTAGCTCCCTTAGAAGAAAACCATTGTCTGTAGTGAGGAAGGAAGAAGCCTCAAGTCGATGTTTTGAAGGAAGTTCCCCTAGAAAAGAATGATAGAGGTGGGGAATCGCAAAACGGCGAGCTTTGGCATCTTACCGCTCTGTGATCAGTTACGACAGCACAGATTGTGAACATCAGAGTGAAAGTTATTATGAATTCCCATGCAATAGCCTCTAGATCAGAAGTTGTGTCCTTGTATTGAGTCATGGTTGCTTGGATATTGTCCAGGTCATGGAACAACACTTTCAGTGTCAGGCTTGCAAGTGTTGCAGCAATTAACTGGGACAACACGTACACTGGCACCTGTGAGAAAAAGTGCAATTGTCAAAGTTTTCCAAACAAAAACAAAGCAAATGGTTCACAAGGAATTTTCTCACATGTTTCCAGGGAAACTTGGTGGAAACAGCTAGCGCGAACGTGACCGCAGGGTTAAAATGCGCACCAGAGATGTGTCCGACCGCATATATCATTGCCATCAGAACTACGCCCCACACGATGGCTATACCCACAATGTTGAGTCTCTGCACTTGGTCTACAAGAGCAGCCCCACATCCAGCAAATATCAGAATGTATGTGCCCACAAGCTCGGCGACGATCTGCACCAACCGAAATGTTGCTAGAAAAAGCTAACTCCAGATATAAGAGCATAATAAAAGATGGAATAATACCTCAGGCTTATTTACAAATTGGCGTGGCAGACTCTTAATGAACGTCGAATATGACCCTTTTAAATGCTCACTTATAATTGGCCACCCAATTTGATTATCAACTTTGTAAGTGAGACTTAATATACTCAAAGGTAAAATGAAACTCTTTTTCCCTCTTGTTGGTTTAGTATATAGGAGAGACCTTTTGGAAATAAGATGCAGAAACAATGGCGTCGTTGGTTCCGAAATCTTGGGCATGACTGGCCTTGATGTCCTCCATGATCGACTGCTCGGTCGATAGCCCGACTTTTGGAGAGACTGCATGAATGCTTGCAGGTGTGGAGGCCATTGCTGTAGAACCAAAACAAGAAACAATGACTTCACCACAGTTCTATTGGTGTTCTCAGGAACTCACTTGTCTTGACAAAGTTCTACCTGGAAAATATGGGAATAAAATCAATATATACATATACTAGTTATGAAACGTTGGCTTCTTATGTACCAAACACTTGACTAATTCAATGTTCACATGCACAGAATGTATTTGGGGAATCTATGAGCCGGTTTTTGCAATGATGCTGAATGGAGAATTTCCAATTGTCGTTTAGGAAAATTCCTGCCAATGGAATGCAAAGGTCAAGGGGAAAATTCCAAATCAGTACCCAAAGTTGGGTCATTTTCTCAAAAAAGGGTCCAAAATGGACATAGTGTCAAATAAGGGCCTAAAGTGCCCAATCAGTCTCAAATAGAGGCCTGAAGTGCCCAATTAGTCTCAAATAAGGGCTTGGGTTCGCTGGCCGATCAAATGCTCACCGGCCGGCGTACCGGCCGGCGAACACATCACTGATCCGATCGCCAGAATAAGGACAATTTCGTTTTTTACTTTTTAAATTTTTTTTATTTCTTTTTTCCTTTTACTGTTTTTTTCTTTTCCTTTTCTTTTTTTTTCCTCTTTTCCCTCCGCCGGCCATAGTCGGGGCCGGCGGAGGTTGCCGGCCTCAAGCGGAGGCCGCCCTCACTGGCGTCAAGCGAGGGCCACCCTCGCCTAGGCTGGGCAGGCGAGGGTGGCCCTGGGTTTCCCTCGCCGGCGTCAGGCGAGGGTTGCCCTCGCCCGCCCCCAGCGAAGGCGGCCCTCGCCCGATACCGACGAGGGTGGCCTCTGCCTGAGGCCAGCAACCTCCGCCGGCCCCGGCTATGGCCAACGGAGGGAAAAGAGGAAAAAAAAAGGGAAAGAAAAAAACAGTAAAAGGAAAAAAGAAACAAAAAAAATTAAAAAGTAAAAGACAAAATTTCTTTTATTCCGGCATTCGGAACAGTGACATGCTCGCCGGCCGATGAGCATTTGACCAGCCGGCAAACCCAGGCCCTTACTTGAGACTAATTGAGCACTTCGGGCCCTTATTTGAGACTGATTTGGCACTTCATGCACTTATTTGACACTATGTCCACTTTGGACCCTTTTTTGAGAAAATGTCCCCACTTTGAGTACTGATTTGGAATTTTCCCAAGGTCAAGGAATGAAAATATTCTGACAGATTTTTACGCATAATGCGAAGTTATCATTGTCGGGATATCTTAGTCGGCCAATTTGTCGTTTCAAGTCGTTTTTACTTTTGTTCGGTTTTGCTGGCCAAGAAGGCAAAAACAGATCGCGTTGCCTGCTTCTTCTTTTGGTGGAACATGTGTCACTGATAAAATTAATACATAAGAGGACATGTTTCTCGGGAGTTCTTCTCCGAGTATCATCAACAAAAAGAAGCTGCCTCTTGTTTTCAAAAAAAACAAGCCAATGCAATATTGCAATTATCGAAGTTAATCTACATACTTGATTAAGGGTTAGTGGATCAACCAAAGTCTTAATACAAGTGTATGAATGTGTGAGAGTACACGAGAACCAGAGTCCATATCTATCTATTAGTGCATTTGGAGACGTGAGGCATGTACCAAAATTCAAGAAAAACCTTAGTTAAAACCAAACAGTTAGGAAATGAATTCTAATATCTCACTTTCCTATTTGAATTAGGATTTATCTTGAAGGGAATATTCACGTGATATGCGTACAGAGACGTGCTTTTGGTCTTTGGAAGTTTCTTTTTGTTGGTCAAGAATGCGTAAAGCTATTATCCGAGATTTAACCGTATGAGGGTGGACCTCGTCAAAGACGTACAGTAAGTGGATGTCACCTATTTATTTATATATTTGACTGCGCAGTGTTTATACCTTCAAGCTGCACAGTGACTCAAAAGGACGAGCCGCGAAGAAAGAAAGAAAGAAAGGGGACGCACAATGGTTCTAAACGCAATGAATTTTTTGCTCTGAGTTTTACATCAAATTGAGTTATTTATTATAAACACTATGAGGTTAGGCTTAATCTAGATATTGAAAAACACTCGAGCATATAAGCAATTGTAATTCTTATTCTCCGATTATTAGTGGATTATTTAGTGTTGACTCTCCTTGCTAAGTATGTTCCGATACTCGGATCGAATCACGTAAATCTCTAGTATTCTTTATTATTCCTCAAATATTTCTTTGGTGATTTCGCGTTGATTTAATTGCAAGATCTAGTTAGTTTCTTCGTTATTTTACAACAATTGGTATCGGAGCTAAGGATAGACTTTTTCTGCATTTGAATTGGGTTTTTTCTTATCTAATCTTGTCTGGAAATTTTGTTGTTGCAATTATGTCTAGAGCAAATGTAGAAATTGAGAAGTTTAACGGAAGAAACAACTTTGCGTTATGGAGCATTACAATGCGTGTACTATTAACATCCCAAGCTTGGCGAAAGCATGAGATGGCAAGGCTATGTTGCCGGAAACCATGAAATGCCAATAAAGATGAGTTGATGGAGAGGGTAAAGAGTATAATCGTATTGAACCTATCAAACGAGATGTTAATAGAGGTGGTTGAAGAAATGATGCGGCAACGTTGTGGGCAAAACTTGAGGTCCTCTGGGTAATTAAGGGTTTGAATAATCACTTATACATGTTAAAGAGGATGTTTTAGTTTCGATTTGTTAAAGGTACTTTCATTAGAACTCACCTAGATGAGTTTAACAAACCCATGATGGATTTGAAGAACGTCAGAAAAACCTTAGATGATAAAAGATAGGGCATGATGTTGTTAGCTTCTTTACCGGAGTCATGGGAGCACTTCACCAATTCACTATTAGAGGAGTGCACTACAATTACCTTAGAAGAAGTCAAATTCGTCTTGTTTATTAAGAAGTGGTAGAGAAAATTGCAAAATGACAATCTGGTATATGATGTAGCGCGGGGACTAATGATTCGAGAAAGAGATCAACACCAAGGATCAAGTAGCAACAAAGGTAAAAGCAGATCAAAATCACTCCATAGAAAGTCCAAGGGACGCGTGAAGTGTTTTGAATGTCACGAGGAGAGGCACATTTGAAGAGATTGTTCAAAATTGAGAAACAAAGGTAACAGGCAAAATGCCACAAGCAGTGTGGTGAATATTACCGAGAAGAGCACTAATGATGCGGAGGTCGTCCAGTATGTAACTAGTGGTTTGTCGGGAGACTAAAGAGTACTATATTCGAGTTGTTCTTATCATATGACGCCTAAGAGGAATTGGTCCGCTAGTCACCATATTGCAGAGGGTGGTAAAGTTCTACTGGGGAATAACGTAGCCTGAAAGGTTGTATGGATATGGATAGTTCAAATTCAGATGCACGATGGGATAGTGCGTACACTGGAAGACGAGCGCTATGTACCAAAGCTCAAGAAGAACTTTATATCTCCAAGGACACTCAATGATATTAGGTGTAAGTACAGTACTGAAGGTAGAGTGCTGAAAATCTATCAAAGTGCCATGATAGTAATGAAGGGAAAGAAAGTGAATACTCTCTATCATCTACTGGAAGGGACTGCGATAGGAGCCACTGCAATTTCATCAGGTGAGTCAGACTTCGATTTGGCTCAATTATAGCATACAAGAATGGGGTACATGAGTGAGACAAATATAACAATGTTGAGTGAGAGAGGGTCGCTAAAGGACCAGAAAATAGAAAAGCTAGACTTACGTGAGCAATGCATCTTAGGGAAGCATTGCATCTTTGGGAAGTAGAATCGAATTAAATCTATCCAGTTATTCATTCGACCAAGGAACCGATTAAATATATTCATTGAGATGTCCAGGGCTCATCTCCGGTTCCTTCGAAAGGAGGTGCCCAATATATACTAACATTCATCGACGATTATTTAAGAAATATATAGTTATACTTTATGAAGCACAAATCTGATGTATTAGATCGATTCAAGAAGTTTAAGGAATTGATTGAGAATGAGTCAGATAAACAGATCAAGTGTCTGAAAATTGATAACGACATAGAGTTCTCTAATAAAGATTTACCGAGGTTCTGCTAGAAAGAAGGGATTGTGAAACATCGGAATGGCATTGCAGAACGTAAGAGCAGAACCTTACTTATGCGAGCTCAATTTATACTTTCACATATAGGACTGGACAAGGAATTTTGGGCTAAAGCAGTGAACTTGGCATGTTACTTGGTCAATCAATCTCCATCATCTGCTAACAATTAAAAGACCCATGAGGAAGTATGGTCGGAGAAACTTGTTGATTACTTTGAATTACGAGTATTCGGATATCCTATGTATACTCAAGCGAATGATGGTAAGCTTGAGCAGAGGGCTAAGAAGTGCATATTTGTGGGTTATGAACATGGAGTGTAGGCTACCGGTTGTGATGCACTTATCCCAAATCATCCGGTATTAGTAGAGATGTGATCATCGACGAGACTACTATACGTCGACAGAGGAGTCTTAAGACCTAATTAGTAGAGCAAACAGATCATGGTATTAGCAGCTAGGTGAAGCTTAAGGTGGAAACTCCGTAAACCTCAAAGGTGACAAAGGCCGAGACTGTAGATGACGTTGTCGTTTCTGAAGTCGATGATACATAACAACCAATAGAGCCGCAGCACACTATTGCAGTATGCAAACAGAGAAGACAAATTAAACCACATGTACGTTATAGTTATACAGATGTTGCCTATGCATTGACTATAGGTAACAAGGTGGAAATTGATGAACATTTATCTTACTGTAAGGTGATGACTAGTACTAAGTCGTCGCAATGGTTAGAGATTATAAGTGAAAAGATGAAATCACTCTATCAGAATCTAGTAGCTGGTCAAGATACCAAAGAGCCTGAAGATTGTCGGGTGCAAATAGGTTTTGCAAATAGGTAGTTTAAAAGTTAAGAGGAGTCTTATTCTGCAGCCTTTAGTATGGAAATAATCATATCTACCATTCCATATTTTAGGAAGTTACACTTTACATCATCCAATGACTCGATTAAATCATTAATTTTTCTTGTCAATAATGATTAATTTACTTATAGATTTAATAATTATCATTCAAGTCTCTCATAGCGAAACCACAATACAAATGTACATTTGATTGCTGATCTCATGTAATCAAACCATATTATTAGAAGATACTTGAGATTATTGCAAAATTCTTTTTTGATAAATTTTACTACTTTTGTATACAACCATAATGGCTATATTTATTTTGCAAGGATTGTGCAAGAAATTGATCAATATACATATAATAGGATCACGTTAATCTTTTTTTTCCGGACACTAGAGTGTAATTATATCTGTACTCCAAGGTGTAAAATGTGATTTCTCTAATCTAATAGTTCTACATTCCGCAAAGACAATTATTGTTGACACCTAAATTTTGGTGATCCAGTTAGGTATATATTGCATAGAAAAATTAGGGATCGATCCCGACACCTAGCAAAAATAATAATTGGATGGCATAGCATATAGTTTTTAGGAGCATTTATCATATAGCTTAATTACATTTTGCATATTAATTGGACTGCTGTTGGATGGATCCGGACTTATTGGTTCTGAACCCAATGGAATTAATTGGATCAAGCCCGTGTGAATTAAAGATTCGGCCCAACCTGTTATTCCCTAAAGAGGTCGAAATTGACACGTGCATTGCGAGTGTGATACGTCAGATTAGGGGATATTGAGATAATATCATCAAGAAACAATTGGAAAGCAGAGCGCTATCGGAGCAAGAATTAAGGAAAAAGGATTCACTCAAGCTGGTAGATATAAACTTGCGGATAAAGAGATTAAAGAAAGGAAATAAAGGATTGGTCAGAAAATATGGGTTCTTGAGAAATAACAAAAGAAGGAAAAGAATAAAAATATATATATTTCAATGCGTCCGCAATTGGAAGCCACATCACGTTCTTTCCTTGAGAGCCCTATGTTGTTTTACATATAAAAAGGAAGGCCACGCAATTCAGACACAGGGGCCACCGTTAACAGAGAGAGTGAAACACGTACGTGAGGTTAGAGAGAGAAGAGGTCTCGGCCAAACACCTTCTGGCCGAGACTCCTTCTTCGGCGCCACCCCTTGCCAGCTGACCCCCGCTCCTTCCACGACGGCAAGTTGTTCTGACATGCCCCTGCGTGCTTGACACTGACCTTGACGACGTTTCTGTTCACCGTCCAACGACGAAGCAGCCTTGCCGAGCCTTACTGACGAACAACCAGCCACCTCGGGCTCGAACATCGGCACCGGCGAATCAGCGCTCACGGTCACTTGCAACACCAAATATCACGGAGTTTTTCTTAAGTGGTGTTTGCAGGTTTTCCGGCAACGTTCCTTCATGGCAGTCCCATGCTACGCCTCCCATCTTGGCGCTACATCCTTGCAGCTACTCTGGTGCTTGATCGAACAATCCCAGTGGACTTCGGCCTGACGCAATTGAAGTCCCAGCCTTGTCAAAGCAGCCGCTTGTCAACTCCAGCAGCTTCCCAGACGTCATTCTTCCAATATCAGTAATACTCGGTGGAGATTCTGATCAACGACCTAACTCCTACAAGCTTCTCCGTCCAGCTGTCGCTGTTCTGCTCCTTTAGGTGTCCCTCAAGCAAAGCCACAGCACCAGAAAGCTTCACGCCAAGGCCGAGCATCGCCTAATCATCCCACCGTCCTCGCCGTCGAGTACCACTGTCAGCCAATTCCCGTGATTCGCGAGCACCACCGCAAATTGAGCCGGAAACCGCTACGAGCTGAGTCTGCGCCACCGTCGCCACTCGCAGTCGGCCGTCCCGTGATCCGCAAACCCAATCTGGCATCAAGCTTGAATTTGGAAGTTATCCGTAAATTAGGTAAGAAACTTTATCCGACATCGTTTCAAATATTTAAATTCCTAATTCGAGTGATTTTGTTGTCTTTGGTTGGTTAGTAGATATATTTGAATGATGCATGGCATATTCGCAAGATTCCAAAAAATACACTAATTTAGGAAATTCCTAACTTAACAACGTGTCGGGACGACTATCTGATCTCAACCATGAGATACGATACTCGTTGGCACGGAAAATCCTTATCATGTCCATAACTATTTGGATACGATAGTAGATTTTATTTTGTTCCCAAATTCAAACAAATAACCTTCCATCAATATCCATAACCACATGGATATGATTGCCGGTTTATATCGTTTCCCTAATTCAAAGATAATAAAACAAATCTTGCGGATCACGTGGATTGATTTTGATCGTGGTGGTGGTTATCTGTCTGTTTGATTTATTTCCTTTAAGAAAAAAATTCCAAAAAAAGATTAGTTAGGATTTGAATTGATCTTATTAGAAGATAATGATGCATGTTTAGGATAGGTTTAGAATAACTTTCTTTGAATAAGTCGATAGGATAAATTTTTAATTTAAATTAGGAATTAGAGTAATTTATTTCCTAGTTTAATTTAGATATTATCCTGATCTCGATGGTTCATTTTAGGGTAATTCTTGATTTCGAATTTTCATAAAAATACCAAAAAGAAGTCACTTTAGCATAGGTTAAATTACGTTTTTTTTTTAGAATAGATTGCATGTTAATTTAGGCATTTTTTTAATTCCGAATTTCATTGGAAAAAACACATCGTTTTCCGTCATTAGAATTAGGTCACGTCGTCGTATGTCATATAGTTCGCATCCTAGGTTGCATTAATCGCATGTCATATTTTGCACGTCATTGCATATAGGTTAGTTTGCATTTTAATAAAGCGCAAACCCTAAAGAACACTTCGAGTGCCTTGTTCTACTAGCAATGCAGATGCTTGCGTTGCTCTAAGGTACGTCATTCTCCTAATCTTGTAATTTATTTATTGCTTTCTTGGGTGTTAAATTGGTGGTTTGCGCACCTGCATGAACACCTCACATGTTAGTGATTAGGTAATAAAATGGATCCAAACTGCTTGCATAAATATTTTTGAAAAGAAAAGGTACCGAAAGGGCGTTAGACTAGATCTAGCGTAACCAAGTCCCTGAGCTTAGAATCTCTGGTTCGTAGGAATAAAATATATCTCCCTATGTTTTATTTAGGTTTCTAATCGACCTACCACAAATAGATTAGTGGCGACTCCAAGCATGAAAACTTTTGCATGTTAAAAACTTAAACCCTAAGTTGCGAATTGGTAGGGCTTGGGAGGGCCCGAGTTAAGCCGAGACTTAATAATCCATTAGCCTGATAAATTTTAGGTCGCGACAATTATTAGTTCCATTCCATTAGACTTATAAGTACTCTACATTGATTGCACATTTTTAATTTTCCGAGATTCAAATTATTCACCATCTACAAAGATCGCTATAATCAAATTAACACGGATGTTACATAAGAAGAGTTCAAAATCAAAATACAAAATGCATATTAATGGGATAGTGAACAGCATCAATTTCTTTTTTGACGTTATTATACTTTATTATCATGTACTTTAGGAGATTAGTAACAAAATCCGATGCATAACATGGGGAAAAGGGCTAGTTAATGCATAAAGAGTAGAGAAGCCAATAAAGGTGTATGCAACTACCATTACCCTGTTCAAGTGTTCATGATCATATTCGTAGCTATATAATCCCACTATACTTATCTTTCTTGGGTCTAGTGGAGGAAAAAGAAAGAATGTGTCATCATTATGGGAAGAAAGTGAAATTATCCCACAATTTGCAATCAAGACTTGTCCAACGAAAGATACAGACTGAAACAGTAGAAATCGGCCAAGTCAACGGCAACGGAGGGAAGCTGGCTTTGGGCTTTTCCTTTGATTCTTTTCTCCTTTTCTCTTTCCCGTCACGGTGAAGACTCTTCAAACCGCCATGAATTGTCAAGCTGAAAACAGAGCAGTTTTCATTACTTGCTCTGACTTTCTTTCTTTTCTATGGTATGATTAGTTTTTGTGTCCCGCTTTTCTTTGCATATTACTTTACAAAAGCTCTGACTTGTCCACCCTCTTTTCTCGTTCTCCTTTCATTATATTTCTCTCCATCGTTTCTTGTGCAAACTAAGGAAGAAGAACCACTGGGGATGGTTTTCCTGGTTGTGAGCAGAGGGGGTTGATTTCGATTCCGGGGTGGTTGTGTTTCTGCTTTTGATGATTTTTATCTTGCAGTTTCCTAATTCTGAGACGTGGATTTGAGGTGGATTACGGTTTGGAGGTTGTGCGGATGGTGAAAAGTCAGCTTAAGAAGTTGTAGTTGTTGCTTATTGGAGGCTTTTTTCATGGATAAGCTTTGCTGCTTCAATTCTGCTCATCCTCAGGTAACAGACATCAATCGATAATCTTTATTTCTAAATTATATTGGTTATCTCCCCAAATCCCAATTGTACTGGTGGAAACTAACACAAGAGGATACTAATTCAATTAGATCACCCTTAATTCCTATATGATGACATGGTGTTAAGTGCCTTTGATTTATCTGCTCCAGGGATTTTACTCGACTTGTGAATCGTATATCCATCTTAACATATTGTATACAAGAAGTTGCCTGCTTTAATTCCTCTTGCTGAAATCAACTAGATTTTGGGTTTTTCATTTGGGCAACAGCATCTCGAAGTGGTTAGTTGCAACCTACCATATGATACTCTTGGTAATTTGCATTTATGACCCAATTTTATAGGCAAGGCACATTTTGTTGTCTGTATTAATAAATTGTGCTTTGGCTCCTGTGTACTTACTTCCCAGACAGACATGTTGTCTGAACTACTCTCGACTCTCAACTTTCGAGTGCCTTGTACCGAAGCTGCTTGCTTCTGTTCTGTTCTTGTTGTCTCAAAATCTGTACGAGGCAACGTTCAATGGCAATGTCTTCCTTCAAACTCGCTATTTGGAGCACTTCCTGAAAGCTTAGTCTGCATTTCTATCTGTACTGATGATGAGCATGAATCAAGAACCTGTTTTGGAACATGTCCTCCAGTCCATCTTTGGATATGAAAAACTGGTCATGTTAATCTTGTCCAAGCAGTTAGAAATGCAGAAATCTTCATTTGCCTATCCACTTCGATGCTTTACTTGGTGGGACTGACATTGGTAGTCATCGGTGTGTTTATTCTTTTGCTTCAGGTTGATAAACTGTCAACCCAGTTGGTCTTCTCAAAGTAGTTTTCTTGCCATTTTCATCTTTATTTCAAGTTACACCTAGTTGTGTATGATGTGACTTAGGATTTTGAACCTGCTTTAGCTTGCTTTCTGTTTTAGGTTAGTTTTGTGCTAGCTTTTCAGGTCTTCACTCCTCAATGAGATGATTTTCTCTTTCTTAACTTTTGTTCATTATTTCAAACATTAGCATGTAGGAGGACAAGCATCATCTTTCTCCGGTAAGGGAAGAAACCATGATGGCATCGTCAAGTATGGTTTCAGCCTAGTTAAAGGGAGAGCTAATCATCCGATGGAGGATTATCATGTTGCTAAGTTTGTGAAGACTGAAGGCAATGAATTGGGATTGTTTGCTATTTATGATGGTCATCTGGGAGATAGTGTTCCTGCATACCTACAGAAACATTTGTTCTTGAATATACTGAAGGAGGTGTGATTTATACAAGGAAACGATTGAAAGTTCCGTGCTTCTGTTAACATTTAATCTCCAAGGGAGTTGTCCTTACATTCTTTCCGTTTTTTTTTTTGTGCTAATCAATGTAGGAAGAATTCTGGGTCGATCCGAATCGATCAATTTCAAAAGCTTATGAGACAACAGATCGAGCAATTCTCTCAAATAGTTCAGAGTTGGGTTACGGTGGATCAACTGCCGTGACAGCAATTCTGCTAAACAATCAAAAGCTGTGGGTTGCTAATGTTGGAGATTCAAGAGCAGTCCTCTCGAGAAAGGGTAAGGCGATACAGATGACAACGGATCATGAGCCTAGTACAGAGAGAGACAGCATTGAGAACCTAGGTGGCTTCGTCACCAGGATGCCAGGTTCTTTCTCCGAGCCATAACATTTGTAATCTCTAATGTAAGTGCAAAGATCCTTACTTGTACATTAATGACATTGCTATTATTAACACAGGCGACGTCCCAAGAGTAAATGGGCAGCTCGCAGTATCCCGTGCTTTTGGAGATAAGGGCCTCAAGTCTCATTTACGTTCCGACCCCGACATAAGAAACACTGAAATTGATGCACATACTGATGTATTAATCCTGGCAAGTGATGGTCTTTGGAAGGTAATGTATGTTTCTCTAGTATTGTTTATCAAATCCAGTTCCTGTAAACATAGGAATAGGAACACTCTCCTGACAAGCTATCTCCTTCTTCTTGGGATTGACTTAGGTGGTGAAAAATCAAGAGGCAGTCGATATTGCAAGATCAGCGAAAGACCCACAAAAGGCTGCTAAGCATTTGACTAACGAAGCCTTGAGAAGAAACAGCAAAGATGATATCTCTTGCATTGTTGTTAGATTTAGAGGATAGCGTTGTGTCTCTTTCTTGGAATTCTTGTTTTTGTATCATCACAATAAGGCTACTTAAACATATAGGGACAAGTAAAAGGTTTCCGATGTACATTGTGCTTTTTTTTGCCCTTTTCGCTTGTTATTATTTTGGTTGTACTTTATTTGATCTTAGTTTTGGATATGCTGTGCTGTAATGTTGTGCCCCCACGACCACTCGTTGTCAATATCCTCAATTGCGATGAATAATCTTTCATCTAATTTGCCGTTTGCCGCACGATCGAGAGTAACTAAAGTTTCGGATTTTCAGCTCCCATATCTCATTCTTATTCGCCTTGAGAGTTAGAAACTCCACGACTATCTCATTCATATGTGCAATGGCTTCACACTATGTACTGAGCTAAACACTTCTAATCTTACTCAACTAATTCTTCAGAATGCATTCATAAAGACTAGAAATGGGCAAAACCTTGCTTAAGCTCAGATCTTAGCCACGGAATCTGTGGCCTGATCCGAGACCAAGCAACTCATCAGCTCAGATTACCCAAATTCGCCATAGTATCTTACAAACAATCAACAACACCGACCATGTCTTAGCAATTTTGTTGCTTGTAACCACCTAATCCATATACCAAGCTCAATCTAGATCAACCAGATTGAGCTTAGTATACACTGCACTCATGAATAACGATTAGTCCTCCCCGTCATACGTCTATCACATCTCAACTGTGGCAAGGCAAGACGACGAAGCAAATCCTGCAATCTTGGCGAAGACCCATTTTGAGTTTTACGGAAAAAACAAACGTTTTTGTTTACTTAGTCACAATTGGATGAAGCAGAGAGAGAGATGGCAACTGATATGGGATGTGCTGCAGAAAGGGCAATCCAGAGAAGCAAGAGATCTTTGGCTAATCTGGACAAAACGAGAACCCCCCTCAACAGAGAACGTCACTGTGTGCCTCCAGAACAAAGCCTGCAAGCAATCGATCCTTGTCGGATCTCGCTTCTTGCAGCCGAAAGGAGAGGCAACTCCTCACTAACACACACCGAACATGACATCGTTCACACAGACAAACGCAACGCAGAGAGGGAGAGGCAAGACTTCTCAATCACGCACCACACGTAACATCATTCAGGCAAGCGAACGCGGAACAAACAGAGAGAGAGAGAGGTGTCGCAGAAGCAAACGTGCGCGGCTCTGGATCTGGAGTGGCAGAAAGGAGCTGATGTTTGCGGGGTATATATAGGGGACGGTGGAGCTGCAAACCCTAGCATGGTCGCAAGCGTGAGGCTGCGGGCTTGTTTTGAATATCCCTATAATTTTGGGCCCAATTCCAAAAAAAACCCCAAACTTTACACTTTGTCCCAATTATACCCTGAACTTTTTTTTGTTCCAAGAAAAACCTCAAACTTTGCTCTGAGTCCCAAATCTACCCTACCGTTATAACTCCGTCCAATTAACGTCAGAAAAAAAAAAAAAAAAAAAACAGAACAGCAGCTGCGGCGTGGCCAAGCCTTCGCCGGTGGCCGCCGCCACAGCCGCCGGGAAGGAGCGGCGGCCCTCGCCTGGGCCTTCCCGAAGGCCGGCGACCCTCGCCGGCCCCGGGCGAGTCGCCGGCGAGGGCCTGCAGCCCCCGATCTGGGGGAGGGCGCGACCCTCGCCCCAGATCGGGGGCTGCAGGCCCTCGCCGGCGACTCGCCCGGGGCCGGCGAGGGTCGCCGGCCTTCGGGAAGGCCCAGGCGAGGGCCGCCGACCCCAGGCGAGGCCTCGCCTGGGCCTCCCGAAGGCCGGCGACCCTCGCCGGCGAGGGACTGCAGCCCCCGATCTGGGGCGAGGGTCGCGCCCTCCCCCAGATCGGGGGCTGCAGGCCCTCGCCGGCGACTCGCCCGGGGCCGGCGAGGGTCGCCGGCCTTCGGGAAGGCCCAGGCGAGGGCCGCCGACCCCAGGCGAGGCCTCGCCTGGGCCTCCCGAAGGCCGACGACCCTCGCCGGCGAGGGACTGCAGCCCCGATCTGGGGCGAGGGTCGCGCCCTCCCCATATCGGGGCTTGCAGGCCCTCGCCGGCGACTCGCCCGGGGCCGGCGAGGGTCGCCGGCCTTCGGGAAGGCCCAGGCGAGGGCCGCCGACCCCAGGCGAGGCCTCGCCTGGGCCTTCCCGAAGGCCGGCGACCCTCGCCGGCCCCGGGCAAGGCCCGGCGAGGGCGTGCAACCCCCGATCTGGGGGAGGGCGCGACCCTCGCCCCAGATCGGGGGCTGCAGGCCCTCGCCGGCGACTCGCCCGGGGCCGGCGAGGGTCGCCGGCCTTCGGGAAGGCCCAGGCGAGGGCCGCCGCTCCTTCCCGGCGGCTGTGGCGGCGGCCACCGGCGAAGGCTTGGCCACGCCGCAGCTGCTGTTCTGTTTTTTTTTTTTTTTTTTTTTTTTTTTTTTTCTGACGTTAATTGGACAGAGTTATAACTAGGTAAGAGATTCGACTTAAAAAGTTTCGGCGCTTTTCTGAGACAAAAAAAAGTTCAGGGTATAATTGGGACAAAGTGTAAAGTTTGGGGTTTTTTTTGGAATTAGGCCTATAATTTTGTGGGGTTAATTCACATTTTGCCGACAAGATTTGGGCACTTGTCACAACTTTTGTCCTAAATTTTTCCACTTCTTTTCCGATGTGCCCCCGAAGTCTTGAAATCGGTTTCACAATCTCTAGTCATGTGCTCGTCGCATGACGAATCAGCTCCTTTTAAGGAGAGCAAATCTGTTCAACAATCAAAGTGAATTGCACTTTGTCCCCCAAGTTTTGGCACTCGTTGTGAGTGGTCCCCCGACTTTTATATTTTTGCAATTTCCACCCTAAAATCTCGGAATCGATTGCAATGTTCCCCTGCTTTAGACTTTGGCAAATTTTCATAAAAAGCCTACACTTTCAATAATTTCTCAAATCTACCAAACCGAATTTTGTATTTTGTTTCGATTATGGCCTCTTAATTTCATCCAAATCTTAGAAGTAATCAATTAAAATTTCTATACAATTTTGAGAAAAAATGACATTGAGGGCTTTCAATAGGGTAAGACATAAAAGCAAACTTACAAATGAAGAGAAATGTCATAACATTACAATACGATACGCCCACTTTGTTTTTTAGTACAAACTAACGTGTTTACTCCATGACTCCTTTTATTGCGCGAAAAATGAATGATTTAAAAAAAAAGTTTCATAAACATGATCGCTTGTATAGCTTAAAATAATTAGTCAATGAAACCTATTTTCATTAGTGATAACAATTTATGTCTAAATATTTTTATCAATAACGAAAATATTTTTCGTTCATTCATTTTTGTAAGCAATATAAGCAATTATTTTTAGGAAAATATTTTCCAAATCATTAATTTTCCACGAAACAAACACATGACGAAAGATCAGATTAGTCACATGACAAGCACATGACTAAATTATCATTAGTCCATGCTGGTAGAATGTTGCAACTAATTTCAAGACTTTAAGAGGGGACATTACAAAAATTTAATAGTCAGGAAGCGAAAGGGAAAAAAATGGACAGAACATGTTTTAAACACTAATTACATGAGCAGAACTAAGAATGCTCAGGAGGTGTCTTTTGACATGACAATTTAGTTTATCATAGAAACTCTAAGGCAGAGTCCGGATCATCCTTTTTAACAAAACTTGAAAATGACATAAATTCAACTAGAGAAACCTAAATATAAAAAACACGAGACATATGACTAACCTGAAACTAACACGAATTCAGGCTTCCCCCGCTCTTTTTTATGAAAAGAACCTTTTGTAACATTTGAGTAATCTAGTAATGACACGAAGTAACCCTACAAAAGAGTACGCGCACTTCGTATGAAGACAAATAGTGGGAAAAAAACAAAATTAGCAAATAGTCAAATAATTTGCAAAAATTATGACCCATTTTTAGTGTGATTTATTATATTGTAAAAGGAAAGGATAAGTATTCACTTTAAGAAATACTTGATAATTATTGTCTATTATTAGGTGGTCATCCCTAAATTTTTCTTTTGTTTAATTATGTCCTTAAATCAAACTGTTCTAGTTCATAATGGTCCTTTATTTTGGTAGGTAAGAAATACCATTTCATTCACATTGAAGAAACTGATAGACACACCAAGTACGCTTTGAGCATAACCAATTAAGAGGAAATGTATTTTGGGCTTGCGCCTTTACAATCCAATCCGCAACCTTATTCTGGGTATGCGCACAGTGCGCCAACCGATGGCCCTTTACTTTGATAAACAAGTGGTTACATTCTCTTATAAGTGAGTGAACGTCCCAAGATATTTCAATTGCACCTAGAAGCAATTCAGACTAAATATAATTTATCTTACTCAAACTCAACTCTTTCAACTTTTCATAAAGTACTTCATTTCAATGCTTCAAGCAGAGCTAGGGTTACGGCATGGAGGGGTAGCTCTGACCTTCACCGAGCTCGTGAATCCATGTATCAGCTTCCCGGAGGAGTCTTGACACACCCAGGTACTGGTGCCAGCAGCTTCTTTCTCCTCCGACTGGTCCTCTCATTAACAAAAAAATGTACGAAAATGCTAAATTTCGTGTTTTTCTCTTGTAATTTTCTTATTAGCAGGCATTATTGTGACCATCCAAATCATCATTTTCCTTTATATTCCTTAATATAAAAAAATAACATCAATAGAAAAATATAGTTTAATGACTCAATTTAATAATAAAAAAAAAGAAGGCTTAGACATTATAATGACGATGAAAGAAAATTTTGTGATTAGCGGCACTAATAGGGGCATGTATGGTCATTTAAGATTCTGAGTATTAAGGTTAAAGAATTTCTTCATGTTCATGAGGGAATTCAATAAACACTTTTCTGAAACCCCATGTATATATATATATATATATATATATATATATATATATATATATATATATATATTGTCGTCTGGTAATCCTTCCGCTTCTGGTCCTAATCCTTCACATACCTCATTTTCGCTTTCCGTTTTAAAGTTTCACAAATTACTCTGAAGTTGTAACATTTCACCGTTAAGAGAAGCCAGATAATCTCTCTTTGAATGGATGACATGTTAAATGCTGTCCTCTTATGTATGGTGGAATAA